TTTTTGTTTTTTTTGAAAGTCTCATTGTGTAGCCATAACTGACCTGGAACTCACTATGTAGACCAGGCTCAAAGAGATCTAACTGCCTCTGCCACAGCACTGAGATTAAAAGCTGGTGCCACCACGCCTGAACACATTTGAGAGGATGGGTTCAAGACAGGGTTTCTCTGTATAGCCCTGGCTGTCCTGGAATTCACTATGCAGACCAGGCTGGCCTCAAAATCAGAGACCCACCTGCCTCTGCCTCCCAAGTGCTGAAATTAAAGGCGTGTGCCACCGCCGCCCATCGAGTAAAGTCATTTTTAGTTTTTGTCCTAACCTTTGCTTTCTATCCTGTGTGTGGTGCCTGCCTGTGCCTGTGCACCATGTGCGTGCAGTGCTCTGAGAGGTCAGAGAGAGGGTCGGACCCTAGAGCTGAGGACACAGACAGGAGTGAGCCGCCATACGGAAGCTGAAAATGGAAGAGCACCCAGTGCTCTCAGCCACTGAGCCATCTCTGCTGCCCAAAATAACAAGTTTTTAAAAGAACTTATTATGTTAGCAGTCTGACCTAGTTACCTAATATAAGGTCATAAATTATATCTTAATTACTCACCAACAAATTATTTATATAAATCACAATTCCAGGCCAGCATGGAAACGCAGACCTATACTCTCACCATGTGGGAAGCTGACGCAGGCTTGCCAGGGGTCTAAGGTCATTGTGGGCAACATAGCCAGACCATGCCTCCAAATTTTAATTAATTGATTGATTAATTAATTAATATATATAATTTTAAAATCCAATCAAAACACCAAGCTGGTAAATATCTAGGCATACTTGAGTTTTATTTGTAGTCAAATGTTCATTGAAATGGCATAAGCAATCTTAGTAATAGTGTAACAAATATTTAAATGCACATTTCTCACTTAAAAAACACAAGAACAGTGTTAGACTAGCTAAGCACAAACTAATATGTTTGCCAAACATCACACTTAAACAGAATATGCAAAGCTACAACTGTAGGATAACTACTAGTGTGCCAATAATTAATAATTACATGTGATTCAAGAAAAATTTCTGGAGGTTAAAATCTTATGTTCAACTAGAGTCTAGAGTACAGTGTTAACCATAACACTTATACAGAACAACAGTATAGTAGTGTGTGTGTATGTGTGTGTGTGTGTGTGTGTGTGTGTGTTTGGAGAAGGGGAAGGGAGGACAGGGAGAGATCAAGTTCACAGCTAGGTTACACTAACGATTAACTTAAAAATATGAATTTCCTGCTATCTTAACCTTTAAATCAATTGTAAAAGTAGCTGCCAAATGCAGTTAGCAGGAAAGCACACAGTTCCCAAAGGAACTCAGTACATACAACTCATTTTACTACTTAAATGTTTTACTGATTACTGAGATTCGAACAAGATGTGAAAAATTCAAAACCAATTGCACAGTAGTAGGTGCTCAGGGTATTGATGGCAAGGTTGACCACACACAGGGTCTGAGGTGCAGATCACATTTAGCAGGACTGCTCTTCCGGCATCGGACCCTGCCCCTCAGTACCAGCTCAGTATTATGTACATTACTGCAGGACCTGGCGGTGAAGACTATCTCACTTTTTTAAAACCTGGTTTACTGCCCAATAAGTGAAAAAGTATTGGAATTCTTTATTTCTTGATTAAGTTAGCCTTTCTAGTCCATACTGGCTTCTAGTACTCCAGTTTGTTTTCAACAGAACATTGATACAGCCTACACTGAACTTAACTGATATTCCCACTAAATAAATACTACATCTGAACTATTCATGACACATTGTAAAAGACACTCAACCTTAGGAACCATGCTTCAAGCTTTGGAACTAAAGTGAATCAGCAAGGACTTTCTTAAGAATAATCAGACTGGAACAGGTGTTTACAGCTACAAACCTCTCCACTTGTCACTGCATTAAAACAACTGTCATGGGTTGGAGCTCATGATGATAAACTCCTATAAGGCATTTGTCAAGCAGATTATTTATGAAACTGCATCAGCTCAGAAGACTAAAGAAGCAACTGTCTTGTGGTAATCTGTACACACATTCAAAATTTTGGTAACCTTCAGTTTATAAAAAAAACTGAATCCACAAGCCAACCTTTCAGGCCTATTTTTATTATTGATGTAATTATTTAAAACAGTGTTGCAACGCAGTACCATTACTTACACAAAACTACTGATTTTAGTGAGATTCCCCACCCCAAATTCTCTTCAACCTCTCTGGCATGAAGTGGGTGTTTAAATCCTAGAGGAAATCTCTAAAGTTAGGATTTTACATTCTATAAGTTTGTTTTTTTTTTCAATTTTTAAAATGTTTTTTTCTTTTATGTGCATTGGTGTTTTGTCTACATGTATTATGTCTGTGTGAGGGTGTCACATCTTCAAGTTAGACAGGTTTGAGCTGCCATGTGGGTGCTGGGATTTGAACCCAGGTCCTCTAGAAGAGCAATCCAGTACTCTTTACTGCTGAGCCATCTCTCCAGTCCCATAGTTTATTTTGTTTTTTAAATGATACTAAAAATTTTCTTAAAGGGCTGCTGGTGTGTATAGTTTCCAAAACCTGGAATGCAAATAAACACCCTATTTTGTTTACTAGTTTAAGACAAACTTCATTTCTCAAAAAAGAAAGAGCATCAATTCAAAAGAGCCCTTGGAAGTCACAATGTGAAAACACCCCTGATAACAGAACAAATTACTGTCAAGACAAAGCCAATAGCATAATAAGGCTGCAATGCAAGTGTGCCTGTCAAAGGGCATCTGTATTAGCAGCCTGGGGAAGTGGCATTTGCAGAAAGGCACAGCCGCTGTGTTTAAAAGAAAATCATTAAGCCTCAGCCGTTAATCCCCTCCCCCATCCTCTTCAGGGGATCGTCAAAGCAATTACCCAGTAGAAGGTGCTATTCCGCAACCCACATGCACTCACGCTAACCTCCATCCTCGGCCGGAGCTGGATTTAGCCAGGTGGACTCTCAGCCCTGTCCAGCATCCCAAAGGCCTCTGCCTCAGCCCCAACCAGAAAACCAGATCTTTCCTTAAAACACTATTGGAACAAAAAACAACTACATTGACAAGTCAAGGACCATCAATCAATACCTCTCTCTCTATCTAGCTATCTTCCCTCCCTACTCTCTCTCTCTCTCACACACACACAATATTGCTAAATATTAACCTCAAATACAATTTTTATCATTTTAATAGAGGCAACCTATTTCTACTTAGAAGGACTCTGTCACACTCAGTAAAATAAAAATCAAGTGTACAAATCCATCTCTAACAGAGTCAGGGGTGATGAAGAATGTGAAAGCAGAGAATGTAAGGCCATGACAGAGTTATCTCTATACAGACAAAAAAAAAAAAAAAAAAGAAGAGAAAGCAGGCCTGCAAAGAGGGGTAAAGGAAACAGGAGTCTTAACATGTCCTTCAGTTTCCTTTAGTTTCCCATGTACTTATCTGCCTTGCAAGGTTGCAAAAAAAGGCCAGACTTGAGATGGGTGAAAGAAAACTAAAAAAGAAAAGCACCTTCCCTTCCCCCACCTTCTCTCCTCTCCCCAAAAGAGCTGTGTTTGTCTGTGAAATCCTAGTCCCAAATATGGAAGAGAGAATGAATGTGTGTATGGAAGAACAATGAGCCCTCAGCCTGGTGTGTGTGTGTGTGTGTGTGTGTGTGTGTGTGTGTGTGTGTGTGTG